ATGGAGACTTCCTTGTATCTGAGGTAGGAAACATAGCCTTATATGGTGTTTTTGGGGTGGTAAATCTCCTCTCGCGTGCACAAGCAGCTGGATACGAACAGGTGGAATTTACGCAGCTCATTTACACACTTTTCCTGAAGATAGAAGAGTTTGTTGAATCTGACGTGACATGTTCGTACGAACCCTTCGTACGATAGAGAAATTTAGGATAAGAACACGAACATGTTCTTGCATGAGGCCCAATGTTACAGCATGTCAAAGATGATTAAAGTTATTTTCAATAATAAAATGCACACAAAAAAGGATGAAAATTACTGATTGTCAAAAAAGCCTTGACGAAAATGAGCAGTTTTCCCAATAATGATCTAATTATTACCTTCAAAATAAATACACGAGAACATTAAAATATTAAAATGTTTCTCATCTAATGAATAACTTTAGGATAAAGTTTATGTTTATTGTGCTTCCAGTATTGTGGGTCTAAAATGCCTGTGACCTCCTTACTGCCCTGAACAGTGACCCTGTCGCCTCTGTGTCATGTAGGATATGAAAAATCTCAAATGCAATTAGAAATCTTCATTTTTCTGTGTCAGGGCAGCAGGAACGGGTGTTTAAACGTCGGACGTTTTATCACCAGACGGCACAGCAAGGTCCAGCACTTAACCAGTCATTAGGCTTTCAAATCTTTACCAGTCAATTTAACACAAGTGTTTAGGGGAGCTCTCTGTACGGAGGCTAATTTTGGATCGTGCTGTAATTCTGGTGGGGATTGTTAATTCAGCAGCCCAGGTCAACAGAGAGGCGGGGGGCCACTTAATAAAGTTATTTACAAGTCCAGAGCATGTTTGCCTCAAGTTGAATTTACTTTTAGTGTAAATTTTTTTTAAATAAAATCTTAACTGGACAAAGGCTTGAGGCAGGCTAATTTTAATTTTAGTTTTGTCTCAAGGGTTTCTTTATTTTTTCTTAAAGGGAAGTCCAATCTGCTGACAGGCTGTCATTTTGTCTTCTGAAGTTCTGGACATCAGCACTCGTTGTTTAAACATTTCCATCCTGTGAGTTAATGTGCTGTTGGAAAGCAGGAGGAGAGGAGAAATTTACATTTAACTGAGTATCTGCCTTAATGGAACATTGAGCTGATATATCGCTCGCTCTGTTTGCTCCACCTCGCTAGCTTCATCTTGCAGTTTTTGTGCTCCTGCACCCACACTCTTTATGCATGAGCACACCTGATTTCTCTTAAATTGTATGCTTTTTTCCCCCTTTAGTATTTGAGTATTTTAGATGTTTTTTTTTCCCTGCAAGGTGAAGTTATTTAAATTGCAGTCATGACGACTCCAAGTTGAACTCGTGTAACCTGAGAAACAGATGATTGCTGTTTAAATGTGGGTTGACCCAGACAGTAAGACTCTCTGCTGAAATGCTTTTTTTGTTTTGTTTCCTTGTCCCTGCTTGGCTCAGTCCCCAGACACGTCTGTTCACAAATGCTTACCAGGAGACATTTATTTAAATCAGATTGACTTCTGTGACACGACTGCCTAATTTGCATCTCAGGAGGCCTTTTTTGATTATTATTATTCCCTGCTCTTCCACCTCCACTAGTGCACATTAGCATACTGTATTAGCTCGGGTTTATGAGCACAATATCCCAGACTGTAAGCTTTTAAGTATTTTTTTTATTGTGAATTATAATGTTAAGGAATCTTCAGTCATTGTTGCTTTATAACTGTATGGATGTGAAACAAACAAACGTTTGTTTGTAAAGGCAGTGACTATAAAAATAACAGGAACAAAGGTTTGTTTTGTGTTCATCTTGCAGATAAATGTCAAGGTTCAACTTTCCTTCAGTGTCAAAATAAATCTGTTAAAGGGGACCAATTATGGTTTGTTAGGATGCGAGTTCGGATACATCTGTGGGCTAAACAAAACATGTTCATTAGATTTAATACATAAAACAATTTTCAGATGAGATTTCACCTTTTCAGTTCTTCCTGTTCTGAGCTCCTTTCAGAATGACCTGTTTATGCAAACAAGCTGCTGTTTAGCAACGCCCTCCCAACCTTTTGTTTACGTTAGCTCCGCCCTCCAAACAGCATTCAGATACATGAAGATGGCTACTAGTACAAGCAGAGGTACGATGGTACAACAGTAGTAGACAGGCTGCTTACAGTGCGGCCCCCCAGGCGAGGGCTTTGTAGTGACAGACCGTAGTCGGGGGCTGTTAGTAGTTTCCAAAGTCCATCGTGAAACTATTAGCCCAAAATACAACTTTCTTTGGTGATATCGTAGGGACATGGCAAACATAAAAACAAAATTAAGCCACACCCCTCTGTTCTCCATGACTGTTGTTAAAGCAGCAAAACAAACGTGGTCTTCCTGTAATGAAGTGGGTGGGCTCTCCCCTTCGGTTACCAGGTGAGGGGCTGGGCTTTGTTGGGCGTTGTTAGCTTACCCAGATTGTGACGTAACAATCCACAGGTTTTTGAAACAACTCATTTTCTGACACTAAATATTTACATATTGCCAAAAAGAGCTGGTAGTACTTTTTTGGAGCTTGGACTGTTTCTGGAAGCAGTACAGACATAAATGAAGCATAAAAACATAAAAAGTGTTTTTTATAGGTCCCCTTTAAGTTCCGTTAGTTTCATGACTTTTATTTTCTTCATCCTTTGATCCGCGCAGCTTCGCACCTTTACCCCAGCTTCCAGGGGCTCATGTCAGACAACGACACACTCCGCCTGGGCCTGGACTTCCAAAGGATGCTGAGGATCAACCACATGCTGTACATCGCTGCCCGGTCAGTCTCGTTGTTGTTTTCTGCTAACTGTGTCCAGAAATATGAACCTTGTTTTTATTTTTTAACCAGTGGCATTAAGGCAGATGTGTGTTTAGATGCAGTATTAATATCTAATCTAAAAAGAAATTATAAACCTGAGTTCATGAAGTTGTTTTATTTTTTTTCAGCCTGATTTCACACGCTGTCCATCTCTTATCAAGAATTGTTGGGTATAGAGTGTGTATCGGGGGTATGAGTGGAATGTGGCGTCCTTGTATGTCTTTGACTGAGTGGGGGTGAGGATGAGGGTGGGATGGTGCGATTGTGTATGTTTGGGTATTTGTCAGGCTGCGGTCTGGGCTGCCCCTACTGCTGGTTTATCTGGAGGCCCACTGCTGCTCGGCCCCCCGGTGGGGCTGGCCGCCGGCGTGCTGGGGGTTCCCGGGGTCTGGGGCTGGGCGCTGGGGTGTGTGCCAGCCTGGCCTGGTGACTGCCTGTTGGGGTTTGGGGCCTCTGGGCCTGTC